CAACAGAGCCCTCTTTTCAGTCCATATAAACATATAACATTATAACAGTACAGCATTAACAGTACATAGTATTAACAGTAACATATAAACAGTAATTCAGACACTTCGACAGGAAACTCCCCAGAAGATGACGACTACCCGCCCAATCGACCGACCGACCGACTAACCTTTGCGAGTTCAGGGTCTCTCTCCTTCTCTTTCGCGTCCTTCTTGTCGCTGTCGCTGAGCCTCCGTCGCAGGGCTTCCTTGTCCTTGCGCTGTGGAGTCTCCGTCTCCGTGCTGACGTGATCGATGACCGTGCCAGCCTCCTGCTGTAGAGAGAGAGAAGCAATATGTTCACACACATGGCTGCTTACATTGAGAGAGAGAGAAGGTCCACGCACACTCACACACATGGCTGCTTACATTCATAGAGAGAGAAGGTCCACGCACACTCACACACATGGCTGCATACATTCATAGAGGGAGAAGGTCCACGCACACTCACACACATGGCTGCATACATTCATAGAGGGAGAAGGTCCACGCACACTCACACACATGGCTGCATACATTCATAGAGAGAGAAGGTCCACGCACACTTCATACATTCTTCGCACGTTCTCACCTCCTAGCTAACCTAACCGTTCGGTAGTTCACCATACTAGCTAACTGCTATCCAGTGCAGTGTACACATACTAGCTGACTGCTATCCAGTGCAGTGTACACATACTAGCTGACTGCTATCCAGTGCAGTGTACACTGACAAGTACGAGAACATAACATAACTCACTCAGTTGTAAGTGCTAGCTTAGATTAGTTAATGTGCATGGTAGCAAGAGCATAACACAGTCAAGAAGCTACCTCGTTAGCTAACACACCCAGTGGTATCAGTACTAGCATTAATTAGCCCATGTGAGTAGTAACAACAGTATTTGTGATGTAATTCACCCTTACGGCATCCGTAGTGACTCACCCTGGCTTCTAGACACCCTCCTCTGTGTGAGATAGCAAACTGCATGTAGCAGCTGGCACTGCAGAATATCACCTCGTCTTCATCCTGTAAAGCAGAGGGATAAAGAATGGCTTCAACAGTAAGCAGGGGTGTGAAGAACCTACTATAATACAAGACCTTACACCTAGAGTACCACATAAACCATACACAACCTACTACAATACAAGACCTTACACCTAGAGTACCACATAAACCATACACAACCTACTACAATACAAGACCTTACACCTAGAGTAC